CCATGACCCCCCCCCCTGGATCCGCCCTTGCCTTGAAAGGGAATTGATATAGAATTCAAGGCATTTTGAGAAAAGTTATATAAAAAAATCGACTCCAACCCTTAGAAAAATTTTGCATAAAAATCAAATTTTTTACATGAGTATTTTCTGAGCTCAATTCATTCCATTCGATGTAAGAAGCACACAAATGTGCATTAATAAAGCTATTGAGTCAATAATATGGAAGAAATCGTCGGTTAAAGACCGCGAACTAACAAAAAAACAGCTTAAAATGAGCCGAAAAAATCGATTATTTCGGATCTGATCGTTCTAGCGTGCTTTTCAATGAGTTTGTTACATCCCTCGCTTTCTTGAGAACAAAATGATGTAGAATTCAAGGCATTTTTTTCCCAAAAATCAAAATTTTACATGAGTGTTTTCTGAGCTCAATTAATTCCTTTCGATGTAAGAAATGCTTCAAATGTAATTGCAATGCAATAATGCTAAAAAGTAGGAACGTTCAAGCATGTCCTGATCAATTGGGGTTGAACGAGTGCGCTCAATGCCAAATATACTTTCACGACTGTTCGACATTACCACCGTTCACAGATATCGATATTTAATTAAATTGACTCATTTATCACAAATAATTTTATTCACGGTGCAGTTGTAAAAGTTTCAATATGAAATAAAAGTGCGATATAAAATAAATATGCGATAAGTTGCGCAAAAAGCTGCTCAAATCTTCATTAGAAAAATTAATGCTAAAATATTGTTTTGTACATTTGCTACCAGCGTATTCATACTTAGACCTCTGCTTAGACCAAGCAATAGAGGGATTGTTCTCGACATAAGAGCTATTAGATAACCACCTACGAATTCACGTGCAAGGCAGTCCGTACTTTATTTCCACTATGTTTTGGACATTAAAACGTCATTTGCTAGTTTTTTTTAAACAATTTTTAACAAAAAGTCGCATTTTTGTAGTTGAATTGAATTACGAAGAATCAGAGGTTTAGCCACCCAATCGGAATACATTTACACAATTAGAACCGCAGAAAAGTTGCAAGAACCAGAAATTTTTACGTTTTCTTAAAATAATTACAACTTGGCTCTTTTTGAATGTTAATATCTCAAATTTTTCACACTGGTATTTAATTGTGCAAAATTGTGCATGTACTTTATTTGTGCAAAAGTTATACACGGTCGGCTAATAGTTTTCGCACAATTCCTATTTCATTTTTTTAGCGATTGTTTCGCCGAGGCCTGGATGCTCCTGAGATTGTCCGATTGAAATTTAAAATATGGATTTGGAACAGAATATGGAAAATTTGTGAACAGGAGGGAGCGTAGCATAGACGTAATTTATAATATATAGATACGTTTTTTGGTAAAATTTGCAGGACATAATACAATTTTTATCTGTTGACCAGAACGTGGAATTTCACATTTTATACTTTTTTAAATTCAATTTTATTAGTGCAGAATTAAGTGATATTAATGTAGTTTATGAAATAAATTCATTAAGTTACATTATTTTTTTGTGGAATATTGGAGTGGTTTTACTATAGTATATCAGTGCAGAAACTTACCCACTGATGAATAACGCCGAAAGAACAGGAGTCCAACCTCTATACAAAATTGCTTTTGTGTACTTATTCTTTCGTACAACCAATATCCAAATTGGCAAAACAACCAGAATATATATTCCCAATATTACGTACATCACCCATTGGTGAGTATCTGGAAAAACGTAAAGTTTATAATATTTTGGCACCTGTATACCTACAATTATATTATCAGTTAGGCCGACTAACTAATAAAATAAGACGTAGTATTGTTTCTGCTAAGATCAGTATGATTTAACTATAAAAGAGGCCACAGCAGAAACGAGCATTTAGTCAATAAGTAAGTAATTCACGTTACGAATTATTGTATTAATTTGGGAAACAGTTTTTAAAAACAGGCTTTATCAATTAATCAATAAAATTGTAGGCACAAGTCAACACTTCGGGTGTAAACATTTATCAAAATAAATGGCGATTTATACTTAGTGCTACGCTTCACTCCTCATTTTTATTTGGAAATCATTTGGTGTTTCTTTTGATCTGCTATAGATTTTTCTTCTTTTTCTTTCACAGCAATGAAAATAAATTAATTGAGATTTAATTTGCAATATCCACTATCGGACATTGGACTAAAAAAACAAATGATCAGAATGACTGGCAACAATGCTTATTATCTGCATCAAATGAATATTAGTTCCTGGAAAATATGGAAAGTTAGCGCCTAAACAATGACGATGACGTGAGAAATAAAACTTATAATCGATATGTTTTGGTCTGAAATACAACAAGATTTCCTGCTTCTTACACACTTGGTTAAATTTTATTTCAAAAAAATATTGTGTTGGTTACTTTCCTATAATGGCAACTTAAGTAAAATAACTATATCTATAGAAGTATATTTGATGCTTACCGCGAATACTGTATAGCAGTTTGGCCCAACTCGATAGTACTAACAGAGAAACCACATCTCCTATACTCGCTGCTAGTGGTGTGGCTAAATTGTCCGGATTTAATTTAATTTTGTGAGACAAAAATATGACGGAAATTAAAATGAAATCTAGAAAAGCAATTACATTTATTAAATTTTTATTCAATATAGTTCAAAATTTGTACAAACCTAGAGTGAAGCAAGACAATGTTGCTGTCAATATAGATGAAGCTGCTAATAAGAATGCAAATGACCATTCCGAGGATCCATGACTTATCACAGAAGCAATAATAGCAAATAATGAAACTATACATGATGCAACAATTGCTTGTACCTGAAATTGAATCAAGCCACTTAATTAAGATTTTTAGAGTACGGTATGAAGTACCTACTTGTACTAATCCTATATTGCCTAGGATCATCTTAAATACTTCTCTCTTGCTTTTCATGTTACCTAAATTTGCCTGAGTTGATAGCCTCGACGCTAGGCACATATCTAGGTTTCCTTTAAGTCCTAAAAGTGCAGGCACTAGTACTAATAGGGCTTTGACTCGCTTAAAAACTGTATAGCTCTGAAAAGATAATATACATTTTCGTGTTTTTTGGTAATAATAAAGTGTCGGTTATCAATTAGCTATGCAAGTTCAGAATTTAGAATCAGCCAGAACTGCAGGAGGATTTCTTTGCCAAATTTGGCAGTCGCAAATAAAAAAAAATTAAAATAATAAGTTTAATCAGTAATAACAAGAATATTATAAGGCATAAAAATTCATATTAATTCTGTCAGATAGATTGTTGAAGGACGTAAAATTGCAATAAAAAATAAACAACCTATCAATCTGTAATAAAGGACGTGAAGAAGTTCTGTTCTCAAAGATCGTAGATTTCAGACTAAATGCCTAAATGAAAGATTTTGTAAGCAAACCGCTAAGAAAATTCGATTCAGTCATAACCACTTGAGTGGGGAAATTCGAGTAATTTTGACTCAGAAAGCGAAATTTGAATTTCATACATTGAGCACCGGCGCATCCAGCTTTGAACTCAGAGAGAGGGGTCATGTAGTAGACATTCAGTTTTTTGTTGTCTATAAAATTAGAAAAATTATCGTTAGTCGAGATAAACCCAGCATATGGGGGGTCATACCTACGCGGCCTTACTGGCTATTTGTAGTTCTTTTATGTTCACAATATATTTTAATATAAAAAAGCAGATAACTTTTTTTGTAAAGATTCACTTGACCGGAAATATATATATTATACGTACTAAAGCAAAAATCATCTGAATACTTTCAGCATTAGGAAAACAGATACCCGGCATTAGTGACTTACCTGTACATTTCCAAGTACTATTCCAGCACCAATAGTTCCGATGCCGGCAATCATAAAGGGAATGAACATCTGAATAGTAACGGAATACCATTTTTCTTTTTTGAGTATGGCTTCCAACTCACTGTTGGTTGAAAGTACTGACTCAATTGATTTTTGTTTGTCAAAACCTTAAAGTTAATAAGAAAATTATTTACTTTTTGGATTTTCATACAAGTCAACTTGACATCTATTAATATTCACTTATTCACAATATTCACCTTTCAACTATGAATTTCCCAAATTGCTGCTACTATCCAAGTAGTATTTTAAATTGGAAAGCACAAATGAATATAAATAATGATAATTAAAATCAACTTTCTAGTTGTGATACTTACTGTTTGGACTTTTTTCTGTCTGTTCAAGTTTTAAGTTAAATTCTGGTGATAAACTAATCACTGTCTTCGTGGTGAGTTGATTCGGATCTGGCGCGTCTGGACTTTGAGAGTAATACTGACAATCTGAACTTTCTGATGAGTCAGACGAATTTTTATGGTTGATATTCATTTCTAGGACAAGCGAAAAATTAGGTATGTGCCTTTAGCTTACGTGTAAAAATGTGGATACAGAGTTTGTTGTCAAAATACGAGTTTTGATAAGTACGTATTGTTAATGTACATTATCTCAGTGGTGAAGCATGAGCAATGGAAACGTGCAATTAAAATTTATATGAAAAGCACGATTTCTAATTTATATTATCCTCAAGTGTGTAAGTTAAATTCCTGTTAAACATTTTAGTATCCAGTTTTTACAAATTATGTCAGTTTAAATTAGTGTATTTATAATTAATTGCTTTCGTTCTCAGCAAGTACCTTTGTAACAATAAGAGCGTCGCATTGCAGCTTTGTGCAAATCAATTACCAGCTATGTTAATTTACAAATAATACGTCATAAAATTACTTTTATTTAATATTGCATTTTCGAAGCGAATATCTTTAAATGACGTTGTCAATTTACCAGCGGCGAAAACCCCATAATTGATTGATTTCAGCAATTCACAAATAATATTAGTGCACATTTTCTTTAGTCTTTATTTTTTATTATAGCTGATCCATAATGCGATAGGTCGGATCGAAACCAAACATGATTGACAATTAGTCGTTTGTTTCGTACATCTTTGACTTTGTGCATCGGTCATCACTAGGTCGGATTTTAGTTTTTTCTCCCCGAGTGAAATTTTTTTCTATAGGCTCTAATAGGAATTGGACCTTTAACATCGATTGTCTCGTGCTTTTTCCATTGACTTTATATGGCAAAAACTTTTTAATTTGTTTCTAAAAACCGGCCTAAATTTCGGATATTCATTACTGAAGTCATTTTTCTTTTGGGATTTTCCCAATCCTTGCTGCAAATGTTGGGCGATAAAATTTTTTCCACATATCAATATATGTTTTGTATGATTATTCACAGTGTTACTTGTGTTTTTCAAAGTATTATAGCGAATTTCTGTAGTGAAACTTTTTTCTGATGTTTATGATAATTTTTGCAATAAGCCTGAAAATATTTAATATTCTCGAAATAATTGAAAATAGGTGGAGATATGGAGAGTTTACAAAAATAAAAAAATCTGTTAAATTTTCTGTCGTATTTGTTCACTTGGAAATAGGCAAGTGCAGATTTCTAAATGCGCTAACCTCAGGCACCCCCTGGACCGGTTTTGAGCCTATCAGCGCTGGAAACTAAACGTTCCATGCCGATGTGAACACTTTGGCATTATAAAGTGCAGGTTTCGGAATCGCTAATTTGAGGCTAAACCCAGTTGATGGGAACTATTAGGCTCGAAACCGGCCTTGGGGGTGCCTGAGGTTAGGGCATTTCAAAATCTGCACTTTCCTATTATTAAGTATTAAGTTCGTAAAATGAAATTTATAATCAGACAGTGATTACATATTACAATTTTCATTTCAGCGCTTGCAAAATTTAAAGTTTCAAATAATTGATTTGTTACCATAAATCCCTGCATTATTTCATGACCATTTTCAAAAACTTGATCAAAAGCAAAAAGTTAAAATATGTTTTATAGTAAGGATATAAATAATTTTGGTTGAATGGTAAATATTGAAATAACGCATTTCCGTTTTGTTATTTTTATTTTTTTAATTCTTGAACTATTTAATAAACATTTTATAAAAAGAAATTGACTTGTTTCAATTGAGATTCCGATGTTAATATTTTGCAAATGTAAGAATTTTGATTTCTGCTGACTGAAAGTGGTGAAAGTCCTTTTGAAGTTATTAAAACTTAATTTTCAAATTGGGACGCAAAAAAGGGGAAAATAATCTGTGATTAAAATTATAAAATTTTGTTAATCACAATTTAAAAAGGTTACATTATAAATTTAAATCAATTGGATATTTAAAAAATACATAATTTTAATTTTTTCAAATTATCCAAATGCAAAACCTAAAATAAGCATATTAAATAAAAATACACTAACACCACAAGAAAAACGGCTCAAATAAGACACTATTCTACAAATTTTTCATGCAAAAAGCAATAGTCCGTAATTACTGCGGGTTCTCAAAAACGCTGTTAGTTTTTGGCTTTTTGTATGTAACCAGTTGAGCAATAAAGTTTAAGTTGTCATCTAGGAATAGAGCCTTAAACTGCGCTTTTTTTCAAATACAAAATATAATTTGTGAAAAATGTCCAGTGTTTACTAAACGTAAATTTCCTCACCCATCATCACTGCACTTTAGCAAATTGAATGCTAAAATGCAGAATTTGGAAGCGTTTTTAAAAATTCAAAAAACATTCCAACATAGACATTTGGAACCTTTTTTGCACAACATACCAAGCTGTACGAACTCAAAGTTTCATAAAAACGGAGCAAAAGTCTGATCTGAGAGCTCGTGTGAAAATCAAGCTTCTGTCGCTCTTAATAGTGCAATCAAAGTGAAGCAGGAAGATACAAATCATGGCATGGCTTGTGAATGCTTTAATTTGATTTTGGTGGATCTGCTAACAATTGCAGCCTCTCACAACAGATCAAGCTAAAAAAATTTCAAGTTTTATGAAAATCAAGCAAAAGATTGATCGGAGAGCGAGTATTTACTTTAACAAGCAAATGTCGCTGCATGAACGGCAATGATTGTTTATCTTTGGCCGAGAAAGCAACTTTGTTTACGTTAAATATCCAAACCAGTTTAATCGTGAATTGGAAATTTCTAGAAAATTGTGAACAAGAAAAAACAGTATGTAAGTTCTGTAGCTCGGTGCGTTTTTAATATGATAAACACCTTAATATCGCATCAGTTTTTTCGGCAACCTGAACAATTAGTTGAATCTATTATGGGCAGGAGACGAAATTGGTCGTCGGTTCTTTGTTCATAAACGGGATAAACGTACCAATTTAGTGTCATTTAGGCCAGTACGGTTGAGTTTCCTAGCGTAATCCGCATTTATTTTCAACTTCGTCGGGATATTCATTGTGTGCTTTTTGAGGATTAAGGGATAGACAATGAAGGATGGGGCGCCAGTTTGCAGAAATCAGGTAAGAAGGATTATTATTCTATAAACCCTTAACTTGAACTGAGTTTAGTTTTTCGCGAAACAATTAAAGTTTTATTCAGTTCTCTGTTTATTTTTCTTACCAATTAAATAAGTGGGTTTTAGACTAAGTTTATCTAACACTACAGATTTTTTTATTCCTTTTCAGGTGGTGCAATGTAGCTTGCGGTAAGTTTAACATGACTTTGCCATTGGCGGATAGCACGTTAAAACGTTGCGTGTGATCCTGGCCCTATTTAGATTTCGCGTTATTTCTCCACATTCAAAAATTTACACAAATCATTTTTTGCAAAACTATTCGTTTAATTAATGTGTGTCTTTCTGCTCTGATTTACACTATAATAAAAGTTTCTTGAATTCCCGTTAGGAATTGTTCAGCTTTACAAATTCAATGTTTTTTCTTTAAAATTGTTAACATTAAATGGATTAGACATTTCGCTCTTTAAAACTTCTAGGCTTTGAGAGTTACCACCCTAAATGGAAGATGGAAGAAACTTCTTATCCAGTTTTGTAGAATGGCTAAGCAATCGCTTATTTTCTTTTCTTTTATGTTTTTCGGTGTTGCACAATTTATTACTTTTGTCGCCTATAAATTAAATAACGTCTTGTAATTAATACCAAAAATTTCAAATCTTCAACTAAAAGACAGTTTTGGCCGTAAAAGTGAACGTATATTTAAAATACACCAAGTGATCGAATGGATTAGACACAACTTGTCCTTCTGCTAACTGTCCCCTCTGTGGCCAGGGTTTATGAGCCAGGTTAGTAGCATACCCATAGAAAAAAAAGTAAAATACCGGTGAAATGTCTCAAAACCCGAATGGATTTAGGATATTGTAAGTTTTTATTGAAAAAATTGCGATCGAACGCGCGCTTATTTATTTATTGTCGAATTTATTCTATTTGGATGATACGATTTTGCTTAGCTTGATCATTTATCTACCACGTACCTAAATACAAGCATCAACTTGCGATTATCATTGCATTGGTACACTCTGATTATTAAATTATTGTATGTGTTTGGCACATGCAACTGACTTCCTGATTACTTATTTCAGCTAAGTGTAATAATAAAAATGAATGCAGAAGTAACTGGTAATTTAAAACATGTTAGTCACGCATACTCTCCAATATCGGAAGTTCCTTGTTATCAGCTAAATTATTGCTGTTTTGTTTAGTACGTTTAAAATGTAATATTTAAATGTTCCTGTTAATCAAAACCACTTACTATTAATCGGTTTTGGGTTGAATTCCTCCGAGGATATCGGCAGAGACGTTGCAGTTTCCTAAAATTGGAAGTCCTACGAGAACTGGAGCCACGTCGACATCCGCACGTGAAATAACTAAAACAAAATAATAAATAATTTTTAATTACAATTTTACGAATGTAGCATACTGACAAATACGCGGTATAATTTAATGAATCTGAAACAACACTTCAGATAACGTTAAAATTGGTACTCTAAAATTATTTGCATTAGGTATACCGTCTGACGTCTTTTATTACTTAAAACATTACTTCTCAAGTAGCTCCGGCAGAACAATCTGTGATAAAATAATACAATATCAATTTTTTTCTAATTAAAAAAATTATAAAAGCTAAAAATCCCTTCCTAAAAATCCCATTATAGTAAAACGATATTTATACGAATTTTTTCTTCTTATTAGTTTTTGAGGGTCATTATACTTTTTTCTTCGTAGCTTTGCGATTATATAACTTTCAGCTGATTTGTTAAGACATGGGTATATTCTCATACGATGAAGTAACCAATGTTATATGTTTGTTTCCATTGTTGATTCGGTTCCAATATTTAAAAAAATACGCTTCAGCTCATTGAAATCCTTCAAATAAAAAAATAAATTAACTACGATCAAAAATTTGAAAAAACAGCAAACAGTTTATCTTTACGATATTATGTCCATCAATAAGATCGTAATCGCAATTGGCCAACAATCCTCAAACTCTTGAGCAACTAAAAGCCAAGATCCGTGAAGTTATGACCTAGATATTACATTATTATATACATTATTTATTTTGAAGGGCCATTTATTATTAATATTTTTAAAATTTCTTCAAAATTTCAGAATTTTCCAGTTTTAGCCAAGTTACTCTTTCTTCTAAATGCTCAATTTTCTAAAGTTTCACTTTAGCTGTTGTTAGCAAATGCTGACAATCTTAAGGTACTTTCCGCGAAAAATTATGAAATAAATTTTGAATCCTTCGTCGCTTTGAAAAAGTTTTGAAATCCCTTTCTAGCATAAACAGAATAAGCGAAAGTTTCGAACAGATTATTTGGAAATCTCGTCACCTCTGAAGACTGTGGAGTTTGTTAAAAAAATGTATTTTTTTAGTTTTAACTGAATTTTTTTTTGCTTTACTTTCTACTCAAAAACGCTCTATTTTGTAGTTTGACTTACTGATACTGACGATCTGGAGGTCTTTTACGCGAAAAATTATTATAAATTATTACAGCTTTGTAAAAATTTTGCAAAAACTTTTTTCAACGTCGAATTCGGGACAAAAACGAAAATAATAAATTCCTCGCGTTTTTTTCCGAAATCCATTAAAGTTTTCGCCAAAACGGGTCACAAAACTAAAAGTTTTTAATCGAAAACGCAAAAAACCATTATTTTCTGATGATTTTCCTCTTTTCTGGATAATGGGGTCGTTTCAGCCAAAAATGACAAAATTAATTTTGCTAGAAACTTTGCCTCATTCATCGGTTTGCAGAGAACTTTAGAAAACCCATCTCAGCTTCAAATTTGGCAAAAAAAAATAAATAATTTTATTCAGTTTTTTACCGAAAGTAATTAGGCTTTCCTTCAAAAAACGACCAGAGAGCAAAAGTCTACAAAAAAGGATTAGGAAAATTTGCCGCCCTCGTCGCTCTGAAGGTTTTTAAAGTTATTTCAAATTTTCAGGTCATTCCAGAATTTTAATCGAATTTATTAATTCCTTCATGGAGACATTTTATGATAAAACATTTTGAACATAAAAGAGCTTATTCGCTCTATCCATTTTGACCAGAGATGTGACAGAAAAACAAGTTGAAATCAACCAGTCATGTTTGTCATCCAGCTGTTATTGTTGCATTATTCTGAGTAGTTTATTTTGTCAATTATCACGTCAGTGGAATCCGAAAATGTCGTCAAATATAATTATAGAATTTTGAAGTTGAACCTTTTTTCACATAGCGCAGATCAACACAATGGAAATATTTACGTTTTGTTATCGTTCAATGATTTTCGAAACAACTCTTAAATTGAAATTGTAGCTTTATATATATGAGGAAGATAATGGTGATGATAAATACAAGAATAATCTATGTAGATAAGCTAGGTGGTATTGCAGGAGTGACTTAAATGCGCCCCTGTAGTTTTCCCTTCAAAGAAAGGCTTTTTAAGCAATACCTTTACACTGCTCCATAGAAGGCCAATATGAAAGCTTTAATTCCGTTGGATAGTGGTTTATTCACTTAAGTGGATTATATAACTTTATGCAAGTATTTTTTCTATAAACTAGGGGTTTAAGTTCTCTTTCCCACTTTCCGTAGACCTGTATCTAACAGTCGGAGAAGTTTTCAAGCTTTCAAATGCGTTCGCAAAAAAAGGATTTTACTAATAACATTAATAGCAATTCTGGAAATCAGAGAACTTTCTATATTTATCATATATAATACGACACGCTAATACGAATTTGACGATTATTTATCTTGTGCGTAACATTTTATTGAAGATATTGAGCATTAGGTACTTGTACTTATTAGTGCAGAAGCGTAGAGGGTGTGTCATAATGAGAGACTATTAGAAGTATAAAGATAAGTATTGCAAAATTGGATTTTGAAACTGTTAAAAATATGTTCTTCGAAATTGACATTTCTTTCAAACAGATAGTTTTTTATGATTATTTTTTCTTGCACCAGACGTGTCACATCACGTTGTTTCAAGTTTCATGCTCGATCATAGATATTTCAATGTTGTTGTACATTCGTTAGAATATGTAAGTTACACTACATGAAAAAATATTCGATTTCTCTAGATGAAGATCTTCTGGATCTCAATGGAAAATGAAACAGAACGGGTCAACAATTTTGAATTACAAATTAACCAAACTTATTAAATATCAACGATTTGTTATAAGTTTCGTATTGATTGTTACTATCTTTCAATTTAATTATTATTATTGTTATTATTGTTACCAAGACTTAACATGCAAGGCCAAGACCGAGATTCTCTAATGGTTTGCAAGACCAAGACCAGGCAAATCTCGGTCTTCGTCTTGCTTTGCTCATCTTGAAATGTACATATTGTATGTATGTGAAAAAAAGTAATGTACATATTGTAATTAATAAGTGTGTATACAGGGTGATTCAAAATTGGCGTCATTCCTCTGGAAGCGTTGTCTCGCGGTGTTTTATGAGTACAGAAAACGTAGTAAAAGAAATTAATTGTTACTAAAACTGACAAATTTGCAAAAAACTATATCAGAAAGACGGCAACAATGGTTTTCAAGTTAAGCTGCCCAATTAATTTTACGTAAGTACCTGTTGCTTCGTAATTATTAATAACTCCGGTAACCATAAAATTATACAGAAAGTGACAATAAAACAGACAAGGATAAACGGTAAATTCAACAAGATTCGTTGACAGTGGAACGTATTTTTTCGAAATGTCAATTACTGTCCTCATAACCTCAAATTGATGTTTACAAATAAACCATACATTTGAGTCATTAACTCCAAACAAGCCAGTGTCTGTGAAATCTCCTTATTATCCACTCTTATCGAGCAGCTTCTAGTATTCGGTTAATTAACTCCTGCTCAATTTGTACCGGTGTTCAGTAATCCATTGGTTTAATGTGTCCTTGTGCTGTGTGTATCTTACATACGTGATACGAATGTAGCCGGTAGGTATTTATTTGGGGCCTGGGAAAGTGTCAGTTGTTCTTTGAGTACCCCTGGAACGCTTTGCTGCAATTATGATCAATACTTGTGCCTCTGTGTCTGGAACCCGAACATCTATTGGCGTCCACTATCGTCCTGGAGCGTGAGCTCTTACAGCTTCTGCTATTTTACTGTGGCATTTCCCGAGAACTAAACGCATATCCGCAAATTCGTAAAAGGAACTTCAAAGCAAGTCGGCTATTGACAAAGGCTATCTACCTGTAACTATCTGTTGATGACAAAAACATCACTGCCGCTTTGTCTTTTATATATGGATTTGTAGTTGTGCTTCCATCTTGATTATAGGACTAGGATGAGTAGTCTTTTCGTAATCCTTGTCAAGTTTGTGCGTTCGTAGAGTAATCGATTTGATGGATGTGTAATGGGTTTGCTGGGTGTCTGATCTTTGTTGTCAGTCTTATTGCTATCTGTTCTGTTGTCTGTATATGTTTGGAAATATTTTCCATTAAAACGGGAGTTTTGAGAGAAAAGTAAATATCTTTGGTTGCTTAAGTGATTTGACATTATTGGCAATTACAGTTACAGAGTTTTTTATCAACAGCTATTCAATACTCTTACTCAATACCGACTACTCGATAATTACCCTCATTATTAGTGTGTTTACTGGAACAAAATGATCAATCACAATGGGGCAAAATCGTTATTATTCCCCCAGTGAATCAAACAAAGTACAGTGGCATATAATTTCGAAGTTTTCTTCATCCATTTCAATTGAAATTCCAATAACAACTCCTAATTTGATAAAATTTCAAATATAGTAACGCTCAAATGAACAATTTGCTTCTTTTGAAAACATGATGGGTTATAATAAAATTAAAATAGATATAACATCGTTTTCTTGTCCGCAGTACATATTATCCGTCCACTATTCATTATGACTACTTCAGTTAGGTATAGTTAAACCACACCAAACCAATCAACCGAATCAAGATATTTGCTTCGATTAGTCGTCGATATAACACTTCGCTTTTTTAGTCATTTATGTTAATTTTTATGGAACTGGAAAACATAGAAGGTTTCTCAGTGACACAGGGTGATACTTGCAAACATAACGACTACCATGTTTTGTGCGCGTAAGAAACTAAAACCGACGGTTTAAAATTGATGAATGTATGCTTAAAATAATTCATGCTGGGAATAGTTCTTCCTTCATTCTTACGCGGACTTGCTCATAAACATAATTTTCTTATCAACTCTTGCATTTGATACAATTAGTGTTTTCATGAGACAACAACAACATTTTTATGATTCATTGAGAATAAACTTTACATGTACTGCAGATGATGCGAATCGGTGTAACTCCTTTCGTAAGATGTAATAATGGTACTTTTGAAAACACAGCAATTCGAATACACATTTATGTGGTTATTTGAGTTAGC